TTGCAGGCGTGTGCCACCATGCCCAGCTAAATTTTTTGTTTTGTTTTTAGTGGAGACGAGGTTTCATTATGTTGACCAGGCTGATCTTGAATTCCTGACCTCAGGTAGTCCACTCACCTTGGCTTTTCAAAGTTCTGAAATTACAGGCATGAGCCACTGTGCTCGGCCATTTGTTAAAGATTTTTGCATCAATATTCATCAAGGATATCGACATGAAGTTTCCTTTTTTTGTTTTATCTCTGTTAGGTGTTGGTGTTGGAATGATGCTGTTCTTACATAATGAGTTGGAGAGAAGTTTCTTCTTTTTAATCTTTTGAAATTTTTTTTTTTTTGAGATGGAGTTTTGCTCTTGTTACCCAGGCTGGAGTGCAATGGCGCGATCTCGGCTCACCGCAACCTCCGCCTCCTGGGTTCAGGCAATTCTCCTGCCTCAGCCTCCTGAGTAGCTGGGATTACAGGCACGTGCCACCACGCCCAGCTAATTTTTTGTATTTTTAGTAGAGACGGGGTTTCACCGTGTTGACCAGGATGGTCTCGATCTCTCAACCTCGTGATCCGCCCGCCTCGGCCTCCCAAAGTGCTGGGATTATAGGCTTGAGCCACCGCGCCTGGCCCTGGTCTCACTTTTTAATTTTTTTATTAAACCCAGTGCCTGCAGCGACATTCCATTTGGCTACTTGTTTTCTGTTCCCTCAGATCCAGTAGCTGATTCACAAGTCACAAGAAAGTAAATATAAACACAATAAAAATTTATGTAAATTGCTTTAAACTCTTTCCATCTGTATTCCCCTCATTTGTCTATATTTAGCTTTTATTCTATGCATTTTGTGAAAAAAATTAACGACGGATAAACAGAAATAGAAATAAAAATGTTAGATCTGTTATTTAAAGCCTTGGAATTATTGAACACTTAGTATCAACTCAGAAGGTGTTATTAGGATTAAATCATATAATGTGCTCTCACAGTGTTCTGTAACATCCTTTTGAGCACATAGTACTTGCTTAATAAAAATTGCATTAATACATGTGCATATGTTGTTTCCAAATGCAAACTTATTCAGAAATTGCTGCTTTCTGTTTTTTTCTGTAAACTTTAAAGAGTCAGCAAAGAATATAATACTTTAAGATAAAGAATGATTATCTTTATTTGTACCAGAAGTATTCGTGTTGTAAGACTGCTGAGTATAAGGGACTCTGTGTTGTGCTTCATTTCTCTAACTAATGCTAATTGCCTTGTGGGAGAAACATCATTATTGATAGGGCACTTGTTTAAAAGACCCATTTATGGACCCTTTCCATACCTGCAGAATTTCATTTCACAGAGTGGGGCCAAAATTACCAAGTGATTTATAAGCTCGTTAGAGCTTGAGAGGAAATGCTTAGTTAAGGAGTTATCAGCCCAGGCTTTTAATTAGTATTGCCTAGCTATTTTGCAGAACTCTCCTTACTTGTGCCCTTTTCATAGATTCTGTTTATTGTTCTGAGTGGAATTGTTATACCCTATCGAGTCAAGGAATGTGGCACACTCTGAGATTGAATTATGATTCCTTTATTATGCTGGTGACCAAGAGGTGGCTAATGACTAAAATTCTCTCGGCCCCAAGGAAAATGTTAAGGGTATTCTTATACCCTAATTTGAAAAGGGAGAGGGATTCTAGCCGAAGCAATTTTTCTCACAGAAGCTGAGCAAGCAAAATGTTAAAAGATAAACTAATACATAAGAAGTAAAACAGTACCAGGTGCAAGGCTAGAGCTGTCATATAAAGACATACAACTTATAGATATGGGGGCTCTGGGTACTCGACAGCACCTGCATTACCAGGCTCTGCTGGAACTGCTTAACTCAGTCTCTTATCAGCAGATGCACACATCAGGATGTGTTATCCTGCCCCAGCTACATACTACAGTTACATACTTAATGAGGGGAGTAACTAAAATGAAAAAGCTAAGATGGAGTCTGTCCAGCTCAAGAAGCTAACATGAGGCCTGAACAGCTCTTAGCTAAGGAGAAAGTCAGTTTAAGCTTACAAAAAACAGGTTATCACAGAAACATCCATGTTGTTTTAATTGTCTCATATGACCCTAAGGTAAGGCAAAAATTAAGTATGAGGAAGGAGTTCAAAATACATTCGTGAGAGCTAAGTTCCATTTTTGCATTAAAGGGTGGTCCAAGAACCTGTTCTGTTTGGATTTGGTAGGGACAGGACAGTGTGGCCCATATTTCCATTACTGTAGCAGAAATTGCTGGTGTCTATGTCAGGGGATGGCTCCTGAAGACAAAAAAAAAAAAAAAAAAAGAGAAGCATACTTTTATCTCTGTGGAGCAGCCCACTGTTTCTAATCTCTTCTGCTATAAAGGATAGAAATGGGTGACATTTTTCTGTCTTTGTCTTTCTGCCTGTGGATATGGTGATAGCAGGTAGACCTATGGTGCTCACACTTTTAAGGGCATATTCTCAATATACCACTGTAATTTGTCTAGCGAATTTCATCTGAGAAAAAATCCTAGAGAAGGAGAAGAAAGTGAAAACAAATGGCCTTTTTTATTTTGGCCAGACATGTCTCAGATCAAGATCTATGTCTACTCTGCTTTCTGAAATGCCATGCATATAGTACTTGCAAACCTGTACATCACTACTTGTGCTTTTCCTCCCTAATGAGTTTGTCTTAAGTACTTGAAAAATTCTTATGGTAGTCAAAGTCTCTGAAAAATATATATTTTTTCTATATACTAGAGCCTTCTCTACATTATGGCTTTTTATAGCCATGCAGAAATCTCACCATGAATTTATAATCTGCAATATTAAAAATGTTCCCTTTGTGGCTGTTGAACATGAGAAGGTGTGGATACTCAAAATTCCTACTAAGGGAATCCTGGGGTTTTTAGTGAAGACAGAGGACACATAATGTTGAGGTTTCATCTTTGTTCTTTATTGTGTCTTTGCAGTACAGGATTAAGAAAATGCTCATTGAAGCAGTATGGTATTTATTACCCAGAAAATTCTAAAAAAATATTAGGAGATATCTGCTCTCAAGGGTGCTAAAGAAAGACTATTTAAAATCATTATTAAAAATTACAGAACAGGGCTGGGTGCAGTGGTTCATGCCCGTAATCCCAACACTTTGGGAGGCTCAGGCAGGTGGAACAACTGAGGTTGGGAGTTTGAGAACACCCTGACCAACATGAAGAAACCCCGCTGTACTAAAAATACAAAATTAGCCGGGCATAATGGTGCATACCTGTAATCTCAGCAACTCAGGAGATTGAGGCAAAAGAATCACTTGAACCCAGGAGGTGGAGGTTATGATAAGCCAAGATCACATCATTGCAATCCAGCCTGGGCAACAAGAGTAAAAGTCCATCTCAAAAACAAATTACAGAACATGGAAGATATCTGTATCTTAAATTTTGCATAAAACTGATGTTTCGGGCCGGGCGCGGTGGCTCAAGCCTATAATCCCAGCACTTTGGGAGGCCGAGGCGGGTGGATCACGAGGTCGAGAGATTGAGACCATCCTGGTCAACATGGTGAAACCCCGTCTCTACTAAAAATACAAAAAATTAGCTGGGCGTGGTGGCTCGTGCCTGTAATCCCAGCTACTCAGGAGGCTGAGGCAGGAGAATTGCCTGAACCCAGGAAGCGTAGGTTGCAGTGAACCGAGAACGCGCCATTGCACTCCAGCCTGGGTAACAAGAGCGAAACTACGCCTCAAAAAAAAAAAAAACCAAAAAACAAAAAAAACCTGATGTTTCTTTATATTAAATTCAGACTGTAATTTACCTTTTTTGGGGCAGTAATGGTGTGTCCTTCTGGGTGCATTGGGACATCATAAAATTTTGTTCTACTGAAGTTGATGTTAATAAATCACTTGGTTGATAAGCTCTCTGGCACTTTTTTATTTTTTTAACTATAGAATTAGATATTTTCCTCTTCATCATCAAGTATCTTATGCAGCTGATGTGAAGAAACCATCACGTTTAATCTGACAGCTGCCCTTCTTTCTTAGGCTTTCTTTGCATTTATCTGTTTTTGGAAAATGAAGGCTCTCATCTTTGTTTACAAATTAGAAAAACTGAGAAAAACACAGACTCATTTAATTACTGGATATTTGAAAAACAGTCTTTTGGGGCCAAATCATTGAATACTGATGAGTTTGTTAGAAATACAGCAACTCAGACTTTATCTCGAATCTTCTCAAAAAAAACAAACTGCATTAAAATCTCCAGCTTCGGCCGGGCGCGGTGGCTCAAGCTTGTAATCCCAGCACTTTGGGAGGCCGAGGCGGGTGGATCACGAGGTCGAGAGATCGAGACCATCCTGGTCAACATGGCGAAACCCCGTCTCTACTAAAAATACAAAAAATTAGCTGGGCATGGTGGCACGTGCCTGTAATCCCAGCTACTCAGGAGGCTGAGGCAGGAGAATTGCCTGAACCCAGGAGGCGGAGGTTGTGGTGAGCCAAGATCGTGCCATTGCACTCTAGCCTGGGTAACAAGAGCGAAACTCCGTCTCAAAAAAAAAAAAAAAGACAAAAAAAAAAAAAAAAAAAAAAAAATCTCCAGCTTATTGTACACATTAAAATTTGAGTGATATCTTCTAACTCAACATGTCTATTCCATCTGAGTAATATACACAACCATATCTTTTCCATCTAAAAAATACACACAGTTAATAATGTCTGATGTAAATATAGCACTCAACCTTGTACATATTAATGTTTATGCCCTAAATGTTATACTTTATTATCCAGAAAAATATATATACACTGATATTATGGATCTTATACCACTCTTTTTTTTTCTCAGAATTAGATAATACATTAGAGAATATTTTTTTGTTGAAAATTATTTTATTGAGTAATTTTAGTCAGTCTTATAAGTCAGAACCAGTCCTGTTTACTTTCTCCATTTTACTTTGAGTCAAATAAAAAATTTTCCTCATGACCACTTGGTAAATATATGTATGTTTGTGTGTGTTTTGCAGGGACCATTGACATTTATGGATGTGGCCATAGAATTCTCTTTGGAGGAGTGGCAATGCCTGGACACTGCACAGCAGAATTTATATAGGAATGTGATGTTAGAGAACTACAGACATCTGGTCTTTCTGGGTGAGAATAACTTTGATATGCAATTCCTAGAGTCCTAGTATACCCCATAGGTTTAATTTCTTTTTTGTATCTTTTTTTTTTTTTTTTTTGTGATTTATGCTTGCAGATTTCTGTTTTCAAGAAAATTGTAGAATTTTTCCTTGTAGAAAAAATTTTCTTCAAGATGTTTTATCTTGACCTGAACTTACCACATTTCTTTAACTGATGTGTCTCCTTCACTTCAGATTCGTGGTAATTTCAAAAGTTTACTGGCATAAAATATTGTTGCTCACACCTTAAAATCTAATTGCCACCACCAATTTTAATTCAATAGTACCAGGTAATAAAATTAAGAACCTATAAAATTAAAATACTTTCTACATATTTAGAAATTAATGTTATAAATGGGTATTTTGGAATAAATGTATTAGAATATTCTATTACATGCTCTTTACTGAGCTCATTACTGAGTTGGTAATTGGAGATTATGAGCAAGATGCATGTTACTCATTTTTAATAAAACAGGTATTGCTGTCTCTAAGCCAGACTTGATCGCCTGTCTGGAGCAAGAAAAAAAGCCCTGGAATATAAAGAGACATGAGATGGTGGCCAAAGCCCCAGGTAAGTGAGAGTGAATACAACAGGGAACCTGGATGAGAGATCCAAAGTCAAAGAGAAAGCCAGTGATTTGGGAAGCCACATTCAAAGAAATAGTTTCTGGAAAGCCTTTTTAAAAAAATGTTTTAAATTTTACTGTCACAGAGGGGCATCTTCTGTCTTATGCTTTTAAAATTTCTAAGAATTCTACTTTCCCTTCAGTAATCTTCCTTCAAGTTTACAGTGACAGCCAAAGTCCTGTTCATGTCATGTAAGAGAGTATATAATCTGACTTTATTTTCTGTGTTTAGACACACAGATATCGTCATAATTTTCTGATAGTTAATCTTAAACCATCTTTTAAGTTCTCTTTTTCCATCATCCCTGAAATGTGTGAGAGTAGTGGATTTTTTTTGTTCATCTTTCTGCACATTTCATCCTGTTTTTATTACTGTATAGTCTTGAAATATAGTTTGAAATTACAAAGTATGACGTTCTTCTGTTTTGTTCTTTTTTCTTAAGATTGCTTTGACTATTCACAGTTTATCGTAGTTTCTTATAAATTTGAGGATTGTATTTTTTTTTTTTTTTTTTTTTTTTGGACGGAGTTTCGCTCTTGTTACCCAGGCTGGAGTGCAATGGCGCGGTCTCGGCTCACCGCAACCTCCGCCTCCTGGGTTCAGGCAATTCTCCTGCCTCAGCCTCCTGAGTAGCTGGGATTATAGGCACACGCCACCATGCCCAGCTAATTTTTTGTATTTTTAGTAGAGACGGGGTTTCACCATGTTGACCAGGTTGGTCTTGATCTCTCGACCTTGTGATCCACCTGCCTCGGCCTCCCAAAGTGCTGGGATTACAGGCTTTAGCCACCGCGCCTGGCCGAGGATTGTATTTTTTATTACTGTGAAAAAAGTCACTGGAATTTTGATACAGAGTTTATTGAATCTACAGATCACTTAGAATAATATGGCACTTTAGCCGGGTGCGGTGGCTCAAGCCTGTAATCCCAGCACTTTGGGAGGCTGAGGCGGGTGGATCACGAGGTCGAGAGATCGAGGACATCCTGGTCAAAATGGTGAAACCCCGTCTCTACTAAAAATACAAAAAATTAGCTGGGCATGGTGGCACATGCCTGTAATCCCAGCTACTCAGGAGGCTGAGGCAGGAGAATTGCTTGAACCCAGGAGGCGGAGGTTGAGGTGAGCCGAGATTGCGCCATTGCACTCCAGCCTGGGTAACAAGAGTGAAACTCTGTCTCAAAAAAAAAAAAAAAAAAAAAAAAAAAAAAAAGGAATAATATGGCACTTTAACATTTATTCTTTGAATTGATAAAATATATTTAAATTTGTGTTACCTCTCTTTTTCACTGATAAATCTTTTACTTGAAAGGTTTTTGAGTTTCTTGGTTAAATTTGTTCTCAGAAATTCATTATTTTAGTGCTATTGTAAATAAGATTGTTTTCTTTCTCTATTTTAGCAGATAGTTTAAGTGTATGGAATTATAACTTGTATGTTAATTTTATATTTTGCTAATTTACTAAGTATATTTGTTAGTTTGAAAAGGTTTTAATATGCTGTTTTTTAATAGAGAACATTGCATGATATACAAACAAAAATTTTTTACTTATTTTTTTCAATTTCAATGACTTAAAAATATTTTTGACTAGTTTTTCTTCCACATACTTCATGTCCTTTGTTAAAATAGAAGCATTGACAATGGGCACAATATACTTTTGCATTGGTGTCTGAATTTGAAGAAGCAAACACCTCTCAAACTTTTTATAAACTGATTTAAGAGGGTAAAAATCTACTTTGGTGAGCCCCTAGGGTGATAGAATGCCCTCTGGGTTTAATAGTGAAGTGGGGTTGTTCCTTGGTCACAACACTGCTGGCTCTGCACTATGGTTGGCTTATTACAAGGGGCTTGGGTAGTTGCAATTCCCATTTTATTTTTGGACAGAGTGAATATCCTTCAGGACCTTGCTCAGTAGGATAGACCCATAGGGCAGGTTTCTGCAGTCAGGTGTGCATACGGTGGGTTTTATATTAGGATGTGGATTAGTATAACTTTCACTGAGTACCAGAGAGGATTTCTGAGGTCACTATGGGTTTCTACATAGGCAGAGCTGGCCATGAACTGTGGCTTAGGAAGCTGGAACTGAGTCATGAAACTGGTTTTGGGACTACAGTAAGGACCAAGGTCTGCAGGCCTGCCAGCATGGATATAAATGGGTGTCTTTCTCCAGGCCTCTCGAAGAGCAAGACCGCTCATAGATTGTGGCTAAAAGGAGTTTGGGATAATTACAGAGTAAGTTTAAAATTCTCAGTTGGACCAAGTTTTGTGGGACATATTCTGGTCTATAGTTAAGAGCAGGGGTCCTGTAGTTTGCCACCTGAATGAAAGCCTGCTTTCTGAAAAGGACCCTTCTCTATTTTTGGCTTTCGCAGAGTCTCAAAGCTGTCTTAAAGGCACTAATTTTGAGATGGGGTGTCGCTCCATAACCCAGGATGATTGTAAAATTTTGGCCTGAAGCAGTTCTCCAATCTTACTCTACCATGTAGCTGTTATTTACAGGCGTTAGCCATAATACCTGGTTCTCTCATTAAGACATTTTTGTCATAAATGATTGAAAAATTTTCTTGCTGTTGAAGGATGAGGAAATAGGGCACCTTTTAAAACAAAATTCTAAGAGTGTGACTGCTTTATATGCATCTATCCCATACAATCTTTGTCTTTTTGTGGCTGACTCATTTCATTTTGCATAATTTCATCAAGTTTTATCATTATAATTTGTAGAATATTTTCTGCTTTTTAAAAACTGAGTGATATTCCAGTATTTTTATATTTCAAATTATATTTACTGAATGATTTGGTGACAGAAATCTGGATTGCCTTTACTTTTTAGCCTATAGTAGTAACTATTGGAATGTAAATGACTCCTCATATGACCATAGATGTTAAAGTTTGTATATGTGTTGCATTCTATTTTTATTAGTCTACTTTTTCATCCTTATACTCATACCAGATTCTGGTTTTAATTAATTGATTAATTATTATTATTATTATACTTTAAGTTCTGGAGTACATGTGCAAAACATGCAGGTTTGTTACATAGGTATTCACGTTCCATGGTGGTTTGCTGCACTGATCCACCTGTTATCTGTATTAGGTATTTCTCCTAATACTCTCCCTCTGCTGGTCCCCCACCCCCAACAGGCCATGTGTGAGATGTTTTCCTCCCTGTGTCCATGTGTTTTTTTTTTTTTTTTTGAGACGGAGTTTTGCTCTTGTTACCCAGGCTGGAGTGCAATGGCGCGATCTCGGCTCACCGCAACCTCCGCCTCCTGGGCTCAGACAATTCTCCTGCCTCAGCCTCCTGAGTAGCTGGGATTACAGGCATGTGCCACCATGCCCAGCTAATTTTTTTTTTTTTTTTTTTTTTTTTTGTATTTTTAGTAGAGACGGGGTTTCACCATGTTGACCAGGATGGTCTTGATCTCTTGACCTCGTGATCCACCCGCCTCAGCCTCCCAAAGTGCTGGGATTATAGGCTTGAGCCACCGCGCCCAGGCCATGTGTTTTTATTGTTCAACTCATACTTAAGAGTGAGAACATGCAGTATTTGGTTTTCTGTTCTTGTGTTAATTTGCTGAGAATGATGGTTTCTAGCTTCATCCATGTCCCTTTAAAGGACATAAATTAATCCATTTTTATGGCTGCATAGTAGTATTTCATGGTGTATATGTGCCACATCTTCTTTATCATTGATGGGCATTTGGGTTGGTTCCAAATTTTTGCTATTGTGAATAGTGCCATGATAAGCATACATGTGTATGTGTCTTTATAGTAGAATAATTTATAATCCTTTGGATATATACCCAGTAATGGGATTGCTGGATCAAATGATATTTCTATTTCCAGATCCTTGAGGAATTACCACACTGTCTTCCACAATGGCTGAACCTAATTTACACTCCCACCAACAGTGTAAAAGTGTGCCTATTTCTCCACATCCTCTCTATCACCTGTTGTTTCCTGACTTTAATGATCACCGTTTCATCTGGCATGAGATGGTAGCTCATTGTGCTTTTGATTTGAATTTCTCTGATGCCCAGTAATGATGACCTTTTTTTTCATATGTTTGTTGGCTGCATAAATGCTTTCTTTTGAAAAGTGTCTGTTCATATCTTTTACCCGCTTGTTGATGGGATTGTTTTTTTTCTTGTAAATTTATTTAAGTTCTTTGTAGAGTCTGGATATTAACCCATTGTCAGATGGATAGATTACAAAAATTGTCCCCATTCTGTGGGCTGCCTGTTTACTCTGGTGATAGTTTCTTTTGCTGTGCAAAAATTCTTAAGTTTAATTAGATCTCATTTGCCAATTTTGGCTTTTGTTGCCATTGCTTTTGTGTTTTAGTCATGAATTCTTTGCCCATGTCTATGTCCTGAATGGTATTGCCTAGGTTTTCTTCTAGAATTATTATGGTTTTAGGTCTTATATTTAAGTCTTTAATCCATCTTGAGTTAATTTTTGTGTAAGGTATAAGGAAGGGGTCCACTTTCAGTTTTTGCATATGTCTAGCCAGTTTTCCCAACACCATTTGTTAAATAGGGAATCCTTTCCCCATTCCTTGTTTTTGTCGGGTTTGTCAAAGATCAGATAGGTGTAGATGCTTGTTGTTATTTCTGAGGCCTCTGTTCTGTTCCATTGGTTTTTGTCTCTGTTTTGGTACCAGTACCATGCTGTTTTGATTACAGTAGCCTTGTAATATAGTTTGAAGTCAGGTCATGTGATGCCTCCAGCTTTTTTTTTTTTTTTTTGCTTAGGATTCTTTTGGCTATGTGGGCTCTTTTGGTTCCATATAAAGTTTAAGGTGTTTTTTTCCAATTCTGTGAAGAAAGTAATTGGTATCTTGATGGGGATAGCATTGAATCTATAAATTACTTCGGGCAGTATGGCCATTTTCACGATATTGATTGTTCCTAATCATGAACATGTAATGTTTTTCCATCTGTTTGTG